ATTAATACAAAAGGTTAATTAATTATACTTTTTATTATTAGTGCAGGCTAATATTACCTTGCTAATTGGTACTAAGAATATAACCTCCTAGGCGATTAGGTTATTGCAATAAGCTAAAATAGGTAGATAAATAATAAGCTAGGTCTTAAGTGGCTAAAGCACTTTAATAAATCTATAACTAACTGATTAACTGGTCCTTATTATCTCTTAATCCTTGATAATCACGAAAGCTACTACTTGGCCGATTTTAAGAGATATTACTAAGATTATAAGATTATTATGCTTTATATGCCTACTTATATATCTTATCTACTCTAGCCTCTTAATATTAGGTGCTTTATAGTACTAAAAAAGGCTTATAGTTAAGAAATAAAGTATCTAATTAGATACTTTATAACTTATATTTCTAAGACTAAGTTCTTTTCTGCCTTTTATATTATATTTAAAGCTACTTTTATAGAAAGTAATATCTAGGGGGGTTTTAAAGGAGCTAGGCTTGCTCCTTTTAACCTAAAAACTATAATCTTAAAGCTTAATATGCAGCTATAGACCTCGATGCCTCCTAAGGAGGCCACTTAACTATTAATACTATAGGCTTTAAAGACCCTAAAGATAGTTATTAAGGCCTAATCTTAGTTTAAATACCTTAAAAGGCAAATCAAAAGGTATTATAGTAGCTCCCTAGAGTCTATTATTAAAGCTTTAAAGTTAGCTACTAAGGCAATAAAGGCAGTTATATATAAGGTTATCTTATTAAGGGCTAAGCTTTATAATCTTTAAGATATAAATAAGATACTAAGCCGGCACTATAGGGCAAAAAGGACTAGATTATAGAAAGGAGGGATTATAATTATATAAGAAGTATTATAAGTAATTAATTAGATAGATATTAATATATAGGTAGTGGCCAAATTATTAAGAAGTAGTAGTTAAGGAAGGTTAGAGCGACTAGGTAGTCGGCACTGTGGTATATGCAGTAAGGGCAGTTATAATGCCAGGACTTATTAGGTAGTTCTTAAGTTATCTAGGGAGGAATTTAGCAAGTAAAAGCTAGCCTTTTTAAACTGCAGCTTAAGCTTTTAAGCTATAGGTTAAAAAGGTTAAGGAAAGTAACCTACTTACTTAGATAACCTACTTACTTATTAACCATGTTAATAATTTATAAAATAAAGCTAAAGGTATTAAAGTAAAATAATAAAATAAGGTATTTATTTTTAATATAATATAATATAAGGTATTATATATTATATTAAAAAATATAATAACTTTAATATTAAGTCTTAGTAGAGTATATAATTATTACCTTAAACCTTAAGATTTAACTAAATAAATAGCCTTAATTTATAAGTATAAAAAAGATATTTCTCCTATTCTTAGTAGGCTATATGCCCTCTTTAGTATTACCCTCTTAAGGCTTTAACCCTAAAAGGCTATATTAAAATAAGCTAAAAACCCTTACTTTTATTATAAAATATATTATTATATAATTAATATTAATAATAGTTAATCTGGCCCTAATTATCTAATTATAATAATTAATTATTATATAACTAATCCTCTAATAGAAATTAATAATATTACTATTAAAAAAATACTAAGTTTATATTCCTTCCTTTACTATTATAAAATTATAAGTAAAGACCTATTATATATTAATAAATTATAACTAATATAGTAAGTTAATCTTATAATCTTTAATTACCAAGTATAGCTTTAAAACATTACATAAAATATATTTATTATTAAATATATTATAGGCCAGATAGAGGTATTAAAAAACTAAGTTAATTACTTAAAACAGGGTTAAGGTATATTAAGGTAATAATAGGCCTTTATTAATAGAATTATATTAGGCAGTAATAATATTTTATATTAGATATAATTTGTAAAGTTAAAGTATATAATCTAATTAGTTAAATTAATAATATAAATATTATATTATAAGAATTAAGAGCTATTATAGGATAAAGGAGGAGGAATAAAAAAGGGAAAAGGTAAATTAAGAAAAAAAGGTTTTAATATTTAAGGAAAATTTATAAATATTAGTAAGCTAAGGCTAGCTTAATAAGTTAGTAATAAATTAGATTAAGTTATAAGATAATATAATAGGAGGAATATAAATTAAGGATAAATATAATTAAACAATACTTAGGAAGATTTTACTATAAATCTTTAAATTATATATTTAAGTATTAGGCTTTTATAACTCCTTTAAGCTTTATAATTCTTATTACCTTTTCCTAGGAGGTAATTTATTCTTTTTAATTAGTTTAATTATTTAATATTAACTTTAATAGCTTAAAGTACTATTTTTAAATATATTTTCTTTTTAATATTTTTAAGTTTATAAGTTAGCCTTAAAAGGTATATCTAAGTATCTTTAAAGTTTAATATAATTTAAATATTTATTACCCCTTAGTAAGTAAAGCTTTATTAAGTTAATATTATTATAATTAGATGCCTTAATTATAGCCTAAACCTAGCTATATATAACCTAGCTAAAGGGCCTTATTTACTTTTTAGCTAGCCCTAATCTTCTTCCTATAATCCACTTTAAAGGCATACTTAAATTATCTATTATACTTTAATAATAAGTAATTTAATCTAATTATATACCTTATAAATATAACTACTAATAGTATTATAGCTTTACTATTATAATACCTATTAGAAGAAGCCTATAAGTATTTAATCTTAATAAGCCTTATTTAATAAAAGGCTATAATATAATGTTACGATTCGTGCCCGTAACAGCGCTGTAAGGCTTCTATAAGGTAGCTGTAGCACACCCATGATTGCTTACATAGCGATTATGGCCCGATCTTTTGCCCTGTGGTTTAACGGCTTGTGCAACCGTTACATATAACTTATAAAATTAAGTAAGCTATTAAGAAAGATAATTATAATAAGCTTTATAATATAATAATAGAAATTAAGATAAATTAAGAAAAAAAGGATAATATTAATTATATTAAATTAATAATCTTTAATTATAAGATCCTCTTACTTATATAGCCTTATTATTAGCCAATTAATAGAGACTTTATTAATTATAAAATAAAACTATTTTATAAGCTAGAAGGGAAATTACTTAAAGAGGTAAATCTAAGCTAAAGAAAAAGAGAATTTATTAAGGCCCTTTGCCTAGGCAGCTTATATAATAAGTGGCTTAAGGCTATCTAGTAATAGGCTAAGAAGGTATTAGAGAAGACTAAGCCTTAATAAAGACCAGGCTGGTTATAGTTATAAACTATAAGAATATACTTAAGATAAGGAGGATAATATATTATATAATCTAAGATAAAAGAGGGGTAATTATAAGGTTAAATTAAAGAAATAAAAAGAAAATATATTAAGTTTTATATAAGTTTAATTACCTAAAGTTAAAGACCTAAAGTTATAATATTAGTATTAGTAGTATAAAGAGGGTTAAATAGGTTATAGGATATAATATATAATAAATTTAATAAATTAGCTAAATATTAATATATTATTAATATAAACAGAGGTTCTTCTTAGTATATTATTAATACTATAAGTAGCTTTTAGGTTTAAGAAAAATAGTAAAATATAATTATATTAAGTAGACTTATTTATAATAGGAAAGTATATCTTAATATAATATAAATTAATTTTTTTAATTATCTAATAAAGTATATTTCTAATTCTATTTACTTATTTATTATATTAATTAAAATTACTTTTATATAATATTATAAATACCTTATATACCTCTTAATCCTTAGGTATTAACTTAATATATATATTTACTACGTCTTCTAATTATATTATAAATTAAATAAAGGTTATGAATTATAAATAAGCCTTATTTTACTCTTTTACTAGATAATTACTAAATTTAGGCCTTCTTAGCTTTAGAATCCTTTTATTTATAAAGTAGGCTAGGTTATTAGTTCTTCCTAGCTTATAAATATATTTAGCAGATATTTTTATAATATATAATTACTTAAAGGAGTCTTAATTACTAGGTTTATTAAGGAGGTAGGTCTTTCTAATAAAAGGAGGTATATTTATTAATTAATTTTAATTTCATTTAAAAGTAGTTTATTTTATTAATTAGTAACTTATTATTAATAGTTATAGTTATATAATTTTTATAGCTCTAAGACTTTTAATTATTAAACTGCTAATTAAAATTATTTTTTAATTATTTCTTATTTCTTCTGTCTTACTAGCTTAAAAAGAGGGGTAACTAGTTATATAACCCTTCCCTTTTAGGAAACAAGGCTCCTTATCGATAAAGGCCTTGCTAATCTCTCTGTGGGTTTAATAGGTATTGTTAATTAAGGACCCAGGGAGAAGGTATATATAAACATTTAGTTGCTCTCAGCTAATTTATATAATAGGATAGCTATTATTATATCCTATCTTGAAGTATTATATTATCCTGGGCGTTATTATAGGGTACTTTACACTTGGCAATTAATAGGAATAATTAGGAGGGCAATTCTGCTAATAAAGCAGAAGTTAGATTAACAGGTTGTGTCTCAAGGAATACGGAGATAAAGGATAAGGTTCCCGATAATCCCCTTTTCGTCTAGTTCGGATCCTATGTCCGGGGCCGAAGTCCCACATGGCCTCCAAGGCCAACACCATACATAATTAACGGTTTTTAACGCCGAATCGGCACCGGTGAGAGTAGGGATGTATTTGCGGTTAAAAAATCCTTATATCTGCTCACCACTCTATTTAAAAGACCCCAAATAGCTAAATAACAAACCAAAGCATACTTTCACATAAGAATAGCGCAGCTTTATAGATGCCCCTACTGCCATCTTTAGGTGCTTGTCCTTTCTTCCCCTCCATTCCAGTATCAGATACCCCGACATCGCTAAACGCCACAGAACAGTCGTGCCCCGAACGCCGGGCCGCGCCTTTCTGGATCCAAGTTGAATGAAAACTCCGAATTTATTCCAGAACCACACCGGCCGAAAGAACAGTTCCCAAACTCTCGGGTGGAGAACACGAGAAACCCAAAGATGACGGCCGGACCACGCATGTCCTCGAACGCTGAACATGAAATTTCCCAGGTGGACGATCATGTAGACGAAAATGGAGGCTGGGACGGCCCCGACGACCCAGACAACCCAGCGAATTGGCCTCGACATAAGCGCAATTGGAACATCGTCTTGGTTGCTTTGGTTCAGCTCTTGTCGTAAGTCGAATAGAGATTTCTATATATATACTGTCTCTCCTCCTGAAGACTGCACTTCCTTGGTGGCCATGGATAGCAAGCTGGGCTGGGAACTGATCGAAAAGATGCTCACATCGTCTATAGCAATCTTGGTTCTACCATGTTTGCCCCAGGTGCAGCCAAACTGATGAAGGATTTCGATTCGACTTCACATACGGTCACTAGCTTGTCTGTTTCTATTTACGTCCTTGGCTATGCTCTTGGACCCCTACTATTCGCCCCTCTTTCTGAAGTATTTGGAAGACTGCCGATCTATATTGTCACTAATGTGATGTTTCTCGCCTTTGTACTCGCTTGCGGCTTCGCCACCAACCTATCAATGTTTATTGTATTTCGTTTCATAAATGGCGCTGTCGGATCCGCCTCTCAGGCACTAAGCGGAGGCACCTTAGCTGACCTCGTCCCAAGGGAGGAACGAGGAAAGTGGATGGGGTTGATTGTTCTTGGCCCAATCATGGGACCGACTATTGGTCCCATCGCTGGAGGCTTCGTTAGCCAGTACATTGGATGGAGATGGGTCTTCTATACCCTTGCTATCACGGTGAGTCTATATTTACCAGTTACACATCGTCTCTTCTCTTCCCCCCTACCCAATCCCAACCCTAATCCTTGATTTTAGTCAGCTAATATCATCACGCAGTGGGGAGTCATCCTCGTTCCAGCCCTCATCTTTATGCGGGAAACATATTCACCAGTCATTCTACGCCGCAAGTTTGGCCGCAAAGATGAAGGCAGTGCTTTTCAGGGCGAGACTATTCTTACTAGACTTCGCAAGAGCATCGGGATGCCTTTGAAACTACTTTTCTTTTCGCCTATCGTGTTCTTTCTTTCCCTATATGTCGCATTCAGCTTTGGCCTGATGTATCTCCTATTTACGACCTTTAGCACTGTTTTTCGTGACCAGTATGGCTTTTCAGTTGGGATTTCTGGCCTCTCATATATTGGGCTCGGTGTCGGTATGTTGGGTGGTGTCACAGTCCAAGCAAGGCTCAGCGACCGAATCATGAAATCCCGTGAGGCGGCGAGAGGGGGCGAACGAAGACCGGAAGACCGCTTGGTCATGATGGCTTATATGGCGCCAAGTCTGCCGATAGGGCTCTTCTGGTATGGCTGGGCGACCGAGAAACAAGTTCACTGGATTGTGCCTATCCTCGGAACTGTTTTTGTGGGTGTCGGATTCATCTGCATTCTGGTATGCCCCCTCTCGATTTAGCAGCCTTTGACGCTCCAATACTAATATGTCACTTTACAGATGTCTGTGATGATGTATCTTGTTGACGCCTTTGATGTCAAATACACTGCGTCAGCCCTGGCGGCGAATACCCTTCTGCGCTCGCTGGGAGGAGCGTTCCTCCCACTTGCGGGACCTAAAATGTACAGTAAACTTGGCCTTGGTTGGGGTAATTCATTGCTTGGATTTTTAGCAGTAGCTTTTATTCCTTTGCCTTGGATCTTTCTTTACTATGGTAAGCAGATAAGGCTTAGTGGTCGAAAGTTTATATAAAAACCTATAAATAAGGTATATTAAAGAAGGTTAAAAAGGAAATAGTATTAAAATATCTTAGAATAATATATAATATGTAAAGGTTTTAAGAGGGTATAAAAAAATAAATATTAGTTTTAAAAGTTTTTATTATTTACCAGCGCTGCCCCTGATCATGGTGACTCTATCTGGGTCGCCATCAAAATGGGCAATGTATTTGTGGACCCAATCCAATGCCGCCCGTTGGTCTAGTAGACCGGCGTTGAAAGACCCATCTCAGGCTACTTCGTCCCCTGCTAGGAAACCAAATGGGCCGAGGCGGTACTAGAGAGACACGTAGATAAGCGTCCCATTGCAGTGTGCGACGATGGAGTCTCCTGGATATGACCAGGCGCTCCCACTCACAAACCCTGCAATGTTGATTAGCGTTTTGTTCCGGCCTAGGCTTCCGCCTGAAGCATTTCCATAGGGTTCGGTGGCAATCTGAGAGCTGAGCGTTAACATACCGCCACCGTGTATCTGCACCATGACGGGCAATTTTTTAGCAACCGGTCTCATAGGCACCAGAACATCCAGCAAAAGACAGTCTTCTTCTCCACCCGGGAAGGTGCCACACGTGGGGCTCCAAGGTGGCACGCTCTCGATACAAGACGGACCTCAGACTGTAGCGTTAAGGAGAGTGCCCTGACTCTCAATGGGATCCTTGTCTATGGGTACTGGCGCCCTCCACCAAAGGTCTTGGACTGGTGGCTTAGCGTATCTGATGCCGTAGAAAGTTTTATCCTATATATGAATATTAATCGATGTTGCTCAGAAGCCCAATATAGAAAGAAGTGAATTGCGCAGTCAGATGTGGTCTTTTGCTGCCTACGATATCCCACGTGACCGAGATCAATTTCAACCGGGTTCATACCAGCCGCGAAAACGCTCGAAACAGCTCCAAGAAGGAGGAAAGAATGCTGTAGGTCATCATGGTTACTGGCTATGATTCAATGGGTTCTCCTCCCTATGCCTGCTAGGAGCGGAAGCGGCATTCTTATAATCAATGTCCGCTATGACACTCCCCGTTGCGTTTGTCACCCCGCACCTCGCACTGACTTAAGCCGAGCACACAAGGTTTACCTCATAGTTCTTCACTATTGCGGGGAAAGTCTGGCTATTTCGCGATTCGTTGCCAGAGCCAGATCACAGTGCAAGAAGCGGACCTTCGGGGCCCGTCAACGGCCGAACTCGGGCAAGAGTCCGAGTCAATCGTGCGAGAGGAAGCTGGGTCTAATGAAAACCTGTCGATTCCGATATAACGGCCCCTTAGTTAGCCACGTCGTATAAAGTCCGAGGACGAAGAATAAGCGACTTAATCAAACCTCCCAGCTTCATTCAGACCTTGCCTATGCCCTGTTCTCGTTCATCATTCAGGACAGCGCAAATGCTGTCTTTCTGCTACAGAAGAAAAATACGCTCTCCTTTGCGCCTATGAATTATCTTTATATTCCTTCCAATTTGAAACCATCATGCGATGGCTGTGGCTCGATTGAGTTAATCTTTAGACGTTTGATCTATTATGGATAAAGCCGTAGTGATTTGAGGCTGGCGATCAACATAGCCTGCAGCTTGCTGGAAACCAAGACACTTTTTGGTAAGGTGACTCTGTTGCCGTTGGACGGATGTGTTATTTGCAGTTGAGACCTGTGGCTGAGAGCTTATATTCACCACGCAGAACTTAGTTGCCGTTGGACGTGCTTGGCCATGGTTTTAGAACAGTATTTGCATCGAACGTGAAGTTGAGTGAGTTTACGCCCCTCCTAGAGGAATTAGGGCTGCTGCAACGTGTTCATAAACACTATGGGTCTTAGGGCGACCGCCTTTGGTACTTGTCGTGATAGTTGTATATGCTTGACTTTCCAGCAGTGAAGAAGGGAATTTGGTAATGTTTTATGCGCCGGTGACACGGAGACACTAAACCTATTCTATTTATACATTAATCCTAATATGCCTAGATTCTAAGCCTAAATGGCAGAACTTTTAATACAAATTACTGGTAAAAACACCCTCTAGAAACATAACTATTAAATGCCATTTTTAATAGTTAAAAACAGAGCCCTAGTGCCAAAAAGCAGTCCAGCATGCTAAGCAGTCATTAGTTTAATTAACTCCATCTGCTTAAGCAGGGTGTTTCTTTTCATAATCTAAACGAAGTGCTATGTATCAAATCACAAAGCCTATGGACCTGCCCTAGAATGAAGCGACAACAGAGTGCAAGACATCATCTGCAGACTCAGGCGTAAGTCCTAGCTTCTCGTCCCAGAGCAGCCCGGTATGGTCGCCGAGGTTCTTATCCTTTCCGAACCAGATAGACTGCAGTAGATCCAAGACGCCCGAGTAATCATGGTTCTTGAGCTTCTCGTAACCCTTCTCACGAATCTCAGCTGTTGAGACATGGGTGACTTCGAATTTCTTGCCCGTTACTTTCTCGGCAGCTTCAAGGAGCCTGTTCTGGGTTATCGTGGTACTCGAGATGTAAACAAATTTATTGGCAGTCTGATCCAGGTTCCGCAGAGAAGCGGCAACTCCGCGGCCTACTTGGCCCAGGGTGCTGACTGTCAGAGGAACATCACCACCATCGTAGAGAATAGCCTTTTTTGTCTTTAGATCGACACCCAGGAAACCGTCGGTTAATCCCTTGAATTGCATTCGTTAGCTAAGAACCTTCCATCAAGACCTCATCTAGAGTAGACCGGACCGGAGAGCCCACTTCAGCTCGAGGTGCATATTAGAATGAGCGGGGTAATGACAACAAACGGACTTACCATATCAAAAAAGGGACCCGAGATGACACCGACCCAGTTTATCTGGCTCTCGTGATCCTTAAGGTAGTCCACAACACACGACTTATCCCCAGCAAAGGGCAAGGCACTTTTTATATCTGGGTTAGTGGTATCGCTGCCAAACTCACCGGGCAAGAATACCTTCACAGAGGCCTTGATGGCGGCGTCGATGAGCTTCTTCTGGTCTCCAAGGGCGCCAAAACCCACGGCGGCAATGACGGCATCTTGGCCCTCGAACGCCTGGACAAGAGAATCAGGCGAGTAGTCGCTCTGAACCGCCTTAACGCCATCCAGAAGCGACACACCAGACTGTCGCGTCAGGCCAGAGACGTTAAAGCCAGCCTCGACGAGGTGGTTCACCAGAGGGCCACCAAGGTTTCCAGTTGCCTGAAGAGGTAGGTGAGCCAATGGCTTGCGTAGGTTACGCTTGCGACATGCAAGACCATCTCACTGGTGGGGCCAGGGAACTAAGAAATTGAGGCTGCTACATACACCAGCAACAATAACGTTCTTGATCTGGACAGCCATATTATTCGACTGTAGACAAATGGCACCTTGGAGAATATCTTCTGGACGTGGATTGGGCGGTGTAGAATTCTGATGGTTGACGAATGGATTCTTTAAGTAGATGGAGCCGATAACGGTGTAAAGACTGGGGTGACACTCCCGTTGTATGGGAAGAAATGGGTGTTTATATAAGAATACGATGGATTTGGTTCTTCACATGATGGCACCAGGATGATGTATCGCGCGCGCGTCGGAGTGTCCAACACGCCGTGACTAACTGATTTAATGCATCGAGGAGAGACGGAGTTATAAGTGTTGCCGCTTAGTCATTTTTACATGCTTGTGATACGCTCCAAACTCCGTCAAGTGCCGAACACACCCTGGACCGTCCGTAACAGAAATTAACTCTAAGGCTGCTTCTTAGGCTAGCTTAGGGGCCGACACCCCCTGCTCACTATTTCAACTAGTGACAATTGGCAATAGTAGCCTTCCGGTGGAATTACCTGTTATTCTGTCAGAAGGAGGAGTCGGCCTGGTTGTGATAACTAAGGGTTTGATTGTGTTAGATATTGGGGTGAATAGGGATCTGTTACATGCCCCACCCGGTTTAACAGGCAATTAAAGCCGCTTTAAGGATAAGAAAGAAGGATGAGAGATAGAGATGCGCAGCGGTGATAAGAGAGGCTAGGAATGCTAATATTATTAAGGTAATCTATAGAGACAAGGCAAAACTATATGTAATTCAAGAAGTAGCACTAAGTCTAGGCAAATCATTACACCCTAGCTATTTCCAACACTAGACGCTTCGCCTTGGGCGAAGCAGCAATACATGCTAACAATTCGGCATCTTCGTCATCCGTCTCCTCTCTGGCACGAAACTCGATCCCTGCCCGCATCAGTGCATTGACAGCCAGGTAAAGTTCCTCCCAGGCCAGCTTTTTGCCAATACAGCTCCTTCTACCGATCCCAAACGGCGTCAGCGATGTCTCCATTGCCTCGTTGCTCTCCAGCCGCCTGTCTGGATTAAACCGGTCGTGTTCTGGGAACACCTCAACGTCGCGATGATGGACCCAATTTAGCATTTCGACGACGGTACCCTCCGGCAGCACATACGTCTCCGTGGCGAGCGGTTCGAGGAGCACGCGGGGGAGCGTTGCCACGATCGTCGGGAACCGCCGAAACGTCTCCTTGATGACGGCGTTGATATATTGGTTCTGTCGAACGGCGGCACTGGCGTCTGGGAGCGAGAGAACTTCCCGCCGTAGCCTAGCTTGAACCGCCAGGTTCCGAGATAGAGCAAAGAGGAGGTAAGTAAGGGTTGACGCAGCGGTGCCGGCGCCTGCAAACATCAAGCCCATGGCTTCCTCGGCAAGTTCCTCAATCGTCAGATTCCGATCCAGGAACGTGTCCCGTCCACCAACCACGACTACTGAGGAAGCATCAACAACGACAACCGGTCCAGCGCAATGTTCTACCCCCTCGGCTTGCGACAACCTCGGCTTTGACTGGGCATACTACAACAACCCTGCTCAAAACACCGACACGACCTACTCCAGCTTAGTCCCCCAATCCTTCAAGCAGGTCAACCCCGTCTACGTTGGCACAACCCGTCAAATCAGCGGCCTCTACCAATCCAGCAACAATGCCGCTTCAGGTCCCATCTACGGCTCAACACAAGACCTCAGCCTCAACTACTTCGCCCTGAACCACATCTATTGCTATTGTGCATACTAAGGCGGAAGAGTTGGATAAAGGTTTAGGAGTATTCAAAAGGGCTAGAGCTATTAAGGTTTAAGTTACTTGTAAAGTTGAGAATATATACTTCAGGTTTAACAAAATCCTTATCAACGTTACACATTTCATTTCGGTTTCCACGAAACAGGTGCCGACAATACATACCGACTAACATCCCCACAATATCTAACAGACAGACCGACATTTTTACGCAACTCCTTTTGTAGTCCTGCCCGTTGTATATGCAATAGTGTATCCGAAGAGCCGATTGGAAATCCATGTACAGCTCTTTATGAAAGACAAATCTTCTATACACCTGCAAAGTCTCTCTGCATGAAAAAAAAGCGATAAAAAGAAGTCACAATACGCCACCACTTAACGGTTCCATCTCGCTAAAGAAAGCACAGACACGGCCAATTTTGTATGCCTTACAAGCGGTGACAACTGTATACGATATCTCTAAAAACCAGATTCTATTTTGAAAGTCTAATATTTTACTTGTTGTCTGCTTACGTCTCCCTGAAACCGGTGAGAAGATAGCGCTTTGTCTTTTCTCTATTCCTCCTTCCGTTCTATGCTAGCTGAGACTCGGATTGTATTTCCCTTAGCATAGGGCCCCTACCACTTATTGTGATAGCATGTACGAATACATCCCGTATCTCCGTATTAGTGATGATCAAATGCAGAATTATTCTGAGACTACTTTGCATCCTATCTGTGATATCTGTGGAAGACGAACCCTCAGATTTCACGGATGTATACGTCGCAGCAACTTGCATAAGAGGTTTCAGGATCTCGGGAGCTCGGTAACTCTAGTAGATCATAAAGAAAAGTATATTCGTCTACCGAAGTCTGGACATAAGTGATTTAATAGAGGCATAACGAGTTCTGTTCGATTTCTTATATAAGTGGGATAAATGCGGTGAGTCCGAAACCTTAGATAGCGGTTGAGATAAAAGCAGTAAGCATATACCTTGCACACTCGGATAGAATGTATGTTTGTCTTCCAGGGACGCTAGGACACGAGTTCTTTGCCTCGGTAAGGAAAGTGCAAGCAACTGCCGGCATTTCACTTACTTTAGTTGTTATATTGAGCCACCATAGTGCAACAATAAAATATATAAAGCATAACTTATTCTACTCAAGTAACCAACTATTCTTTTATCACAAACAATTAATAGTTACACTCTTACTACAAAAACCACAACACTTAACTATCTTACTATAACCTCGACGAAAATGAAGTGTTAGTTCTATTCTCCTTATAGTAGATAATCTCTTGTACTAACTCCCGTGTAGTCTCTATGATCTTTGCTGTTGCTGGCCTTGTTACCGCAGCTGCCGCGTCCCCAGCCGCTGATGGTGGCAATACTGGAAGAAATCACCTTTATGCAAGGAAGACAGTTGCAGAGCTCAAAGGATTGGGCGAGAGTAAGCTCTCTTCGGCTTGTTGGGTATGCCTCGCTGGCTGTGCTGCTGGAGAGGATTTGGATTACTGTGATTGCTGCGCGAAAGGCGGATCTTGCTACGATGATTGTTAAGTCTATTATGTAGTGGGACAAAGAGGCTTGGAGGCATGACAGTTAGGTATGATGGCTAGGTTTTGACATATGACAAAGGGGTTTTTTGCTTGAAGGTTTTCCCCATTCGAAATAGAGGACCAGTATGTATTTCCTAGCAATCTAGTGAATAGCTAAAAATATGTCATACTTTCCAGTTATAAATACTCAAGACTCTGGCTTGTGTTCTTTACCTTTGTGTTGGGGCTTGAAGCTTCTTTAACCCCTCAACCTTATAGACCTCTCGTTAATAACATGGGAAGCGAATAATTCCCTCTAGGCGCCGAAGTGGTCAAAGGGTTAGCCTCTGCCGCAATAACGGGCTATTGAATCTCCGTGCCCTCTTGTTCTTCCCTTGTGCCCTCGCCCATTCTGAGTCTGATTCGTCTTATCCTCGATTACGGAAAGGCGGTGATGCAAATGAAGGGTGCCAGCCTCTACGCCATCCATCTATTCAAGCCATAGTATCGGACCGGGCGCCATTGCCATCATCGTCGTAGTAGTCTTATCGTCGTCATTTTCATGAATAGCTTCGACAGTTCAGTTTATAAGATCTCCTCATTGATTGAAATCTAGATATTGCAATCGTAGTCATATGCATAGAAGGGACATTAATAAGCATACCAGAAGGCATCCTCGGTGTTGCGAAGCTATTAGATGGAATCATTCTAGTTTAAGCAAGCTTGGAATAAAACCCATCTGTCAAATGCGATCATGTGTGCTTCGGTGCCTCCGAGCTTCTTACCAGCATCTTATTCCCACAGCCTTTTTCGCCTGGTTTCAAAGCAATCACCCATAGCAGCCATTGTCCAATGAAGCACCCCACAGCCCGTCCCGCATAGCCACGAGTTTGAATGTTTTCTGTCAGCTGCAGCGGTTGCAATCAATTGAGGAGTTGATTTTATCATGAATGTAGCACATGTGGTTCATCTACTAATCGTCCCTTCATGTTGATAATTCACAATTATTTCTCTCCTATGGCAGAGCGCTCACTCTGCCACTCATCTAGAATTACAGCCGAGGACGCCACGTCTGGAGGGTCAACACCAAGCACTCGTTTTCTTAGGACAACGCAGTTTCGCAACTGAGCTAAAGCATCCCCACGACTCACCCGACCAACCGCTGGCGTCGTTCCTTCCGAAGACCGGCCGCGGATCGATAATCGTTACATCCTTCAACATGGATGCAATGGAGAGGTTGGCCGGCTTAGACGCCATCTGCAACGTGGTGGTGATGGAAAAAGCCAAGCCATTCAGCTTCTTCGGGCTAGGCTGGGGGTTGGGTACGCCGAAGATGATGTGGCCATGGCAGATCTAGTTGATAATCGAAACTACAAGCCTCTTGCCATCACACAGGCCGCTGCCTTCCATCAAGTGCCGAGCACCGCGAATGTCCGTACATAAGTACTTAGCCGAATTTCGAAAGAGCGATAAGGCAAACCTCCTCAGCAAAGATGCAGACGACCTCCGTCGAGATTCGTCTGCCTCCAACTCAGTCGTCACAGCATGGAGCTTTTATACTTAGCAAGCTAGTGTCTTGCAATATCACGGGAATCAGCTCCCTCGGGGCCAATAAACTCGCAAAGAAGTGGTGGAGGAACTACAGGGCGATAAAGTGAGAGTCTACTTCGCAATAGAGAATGAGGGCTAGCGGTTTGAAAAAAGAAAAAAAAAAAAGAAAAAGGCGACGACGTTAAAGAACAAAAGGTTGCCATTCAGTAACGATTTTGCCATTATGGATACGGCTGTTCCTGTCCTAGACTTCTACCATGGCTACCTACAGCAGTAATATCTCGTATCTACTTAGATAACATATCCTTCATATACTGATTGGTTCTCTTAACATTGAAACCGAATGCTAGTTGCACTATCTCCCGGACTAAGCCCTTATTTAGAAAAGCAAACTTGGAGACTTACCTGTAGTCCTGCCAGTGTATGCTCTTGCAAGGCACGGTCGATAAGAGGCATCGCGCAGCCATATAGAATTTTACTTTTACGAGGAAATATGTGCATTTTATGTGATGCCCAATTCCCCTTTGTAGCACATTACATCTAAGCCCGAATCGAACCAGCAAGCCCTCTGCTCGACGGCTTGCACACCCACTGGAGACACAACGACGAGGGATTTTTCGAGATACGTCCCGAAGGGCGTACGTGAATAGGCGTGAGCCCCGTCTGAATTTCTGTCTCATCGCTGATAATACTGTCACTGTCCACCTCATTGCCATGGAAGTCATCACGTCAAGAACCGTTCCGTGATCATATCCAAGCATACATCGTGCGTTAACATACCCAGCAGACATACAGCAGCTGGCCTCCAGAACCATTGCAACAAGTAGTAATAGCGAACTTGAGCGAGCTAACTACAGGTAGAACGTTGCCATGTCCCAGGTAATAATAGACGGGCTCTGAGTATGACACGACCTTCTGAACCAGTAACGGCGCAAAACCAGAAAGGAAGAGTTATTTTTGTTGAAAGAAAACAGGGTCGACTGCTTGAGATTGTGGTAGCGGGTGATGGCGGGACAACGCCAGAGAAAAACGATTGATAACCACTGAGGACGGAGAACTTGGGCCGTTAGAGAGAGTGTGGCTAAGGCTTATAGTGCCTTTTAATTAACTATAACTAAGGAAAATATTAAGGGGGATTTTAGAGGAGTTAGTAATATTCCTTTTAACCTAGAAGTTATAATCTTAAAACTTAATATAATATAGTTAATATGTAAGTGCTTTAGATAGGTAAGCACTTTAAAAATCCCTTAACCTTATATTTAACTATCTAATTAATTAGTTCTTAACTACTTAATATATTATAATCCTTAAATAAAGCTATAATCCTTCTTATTCTTTAGGCTTTTTAAAATAATTTAAAATTAAGTTTTAAATTTATTATAAATATTTATAAAGTTAATTATTTTATTTTATATTATTATTAAAAAAGTATTTAATTATAATATAATTTTATTTTAAATTTATAAAAATTATATAATTTAAAAAAGTAAATAATAATTTATTTTATTTTTAACTTAAATTTATAAAGATTTTTATTATAATTATATTTTATAA